TGTTTTGTTATTGCTACTCACAGGCTGCAGTGGCAGATGCTGGAGCTGCCGGTGGCCTGAGAGCCTTCAACCCTGCCTGTCAGCTCCCACCTTGCCCTGCATAAACACCCCCAGCCAGTTCATCCTTGCTCAGCTTGTGGGTGGAACAATTCCAGTCCAAAACAGAACCCTTGTAAATCACATATTAAAAGAGTTTTACAAGCCTGTGCACCTAACGGGAGACAGGCACACAGGGTGCATTGTTCACATGTGGCTGGAACTGAGGCCAGACACTTGAGGGATAGGGGAGTGAGGACACATGAAAGGCCCGAGGGAAACAGCCCCAGTTGGGCAACTGCAGGACCACAGGTCCCTTTGCAGGTCACTGACTGGTTGCTGCAGCTGCTTTCAGCTCTCAGAAGCCTTTTCTTAATTCAGATGCACCTAAAGATGCCCCAAGAGCACCTGTAAGCCAGACAAAGTCAGATCCCTACTGGGTGAGCAAAGAGGCTGCTGATGGGTGACAAAGGGGAAAGGATTAGCTTTTCTGGTGCCTTGAGGCAGGACAGGGTCCTGATGGAGGGAAGCATGGGCTGCAGGAGGAGCCAAGGGAGGAGGCAGTAGGGCACCCAGAGGAGACAGATGGGCTGTCTCCCAGGTTTGAAGGATGGGGCTATTTGTCAGGGAGCAACATGTGAGCCACAGAAGGAAGATGTCCTGAGGATTCACTCCAGTGGAACAGTTTTGGTCTTAAAGCCTAGAGATGAGTCTCTCAGGGGATGGAGGTGATGAGAAAGCAGCTGGGCTGCTGTGCCCCTGCACCCTGCAATTTAAATTAAGCTGCTATGGGCCTCAAGATGTTTGTACTTTCATCCTGGCCCATCTAAACCTTGTCTGCTTGCCTTTTTTTTTTTTTCCCAAGCATGCAGACAAGACCAGGGACTTGTTAAATGGGGAGAAATAGCCTTCCATTTAATATAATTATAGTAGTTATATTTGAGGGAACAATGTAAAATACTTTTAATGTTTAGCTGTAAAAATGGCTTTAATATTTTAGATGGGCTTTCATACATCCTCCTAAGTCTTTCTTTTTTCCTCCAGATTAAACTTGAACTTCACAAGCACTGATGATATGAAAAGATATGATGAAGTAAATGTATCTAAAGAAATTAAGTACATTAGGATTCTGCCAAGCTTTGTGCAGGGCTTACCTCTTGTCTCTTACTTGGTGTTGCATCTAGGCTATTTTCCAAAATTTGCACACCTTGCATGGCTTTCTTGGCCTCACTGAAGCTGCATCCCAGTGGACAGGGCTCTCAGTTGTAGCCAGGAGGGTTGAATGGTGATTCCCCGTGCCAGAGGCTGTACCTAGCTGGGCTGGTAACATCTGAAAAGACAAGGAGATCCAACGTGAGTATGTGGCTTTCAGAGCTGATGTGAACATGACCTTTAAAGACAGAGCAGGATGAGGGAGATCATCAAGGCTGCCTTAGATGTTTTTGTCAGCTGATGGTGGTGCTGGCTGCCTATGATCTTGCTGCTGAAGAGATGCAAGAGCATGCTGATCTTGCTGTGTTGACAGCAAGATTCTTCTGCTACCTTGGTAGCTCTCAGCTAGGGGCTGTGCTTCCCAGCAGGAAGGGTCTTTGTCGAGAGTTGTACTGAGAGAGGTGTAACCTGCAGTTACTAGTGACAGCCTGGGGACCTCAGTTCAGACTTTCATTGACTTTGTTTCATGAAGGGTGGTTTTTTTGGTTGTTACATGGGTATTCAAGCCCTCACATTCCCCAGGTGAGTGGAGGTCAGCATGAGCTCCCTGCATGACCAGGCTGGGCACACTGGGCTCTGGGGGTGATTTCTGAGCAGCACTGCTGAGCTGTTTTACACCCTGACATCAAACTGCAGTTAGTGTTTGAATATCTTCAAGAACAGGCGTCCCACCATCTCTCCTCACCATACTCCAATGTTTGACCATCCTCATGGTGAAAACACTTTTCCTGGTATCTTAAGTGGGTTTTCTCATCTTCCATCTTGTACGTATTTTCACTCTGTTTCTCCCCTGCTCACCTCTGAGAGGAGCCTGGCTCTGTCACCACCATAACTCTCCAGCAGTACACAGTGAACTGGGCACTTGGCTGGTTTCTCAAAAGTAAGATGAGATGAGTGAATAGCTCTGTAAAGGCAGCCTGTATTCTGCCTATGAGGAGAGTGAGGTCATGGTGATGCTGGCAGTGCTTTGTGTTGGAGAGTTCATTATTAATTGTGTAATCTCGACTTTCATGCTCTCTTTGTGCTGTACCAAGTGACTGCTCTTCAACAATGTGAAGCCCTCCATCTCTGGGTTAAGGAATACCTCTGGGCTCTGTCTTTCATTAGGTTTGTTCTGCTGTGTGTGTGCACAGCATTCCTTTCCCCTTAGACAGACAACCTCCTAGGCTTTTAAGCAATCCAGGCCATAAAAATATTTACATTTTTCTATAGCATGTGGTCTGTACACAGTCAAACAAGCATGGCACTCACTAAGGGATTGTGGCACCAGGATTCAGTGGGAGTGTGGCATCCTAGGCTGCAGCAGGCTGGCTTGCCTTGCTCCCCCACCCCTGCAGTGGCAAGACCATCTCCTACAGAAATGTCTCTGTGGCCGTGAGACTTCACTGAAGGCCCCAGAAAGAGGCAGTGTGTTGAAACTGCCTATCTAGATGTAATTCCAGGCAGCAGATTGTTAGCAATATTCTACTCATAGGAAAAAGCTCTTCTTTGTTTTAAAGACAGATGCGGTATTTGTTCAAGACGTGTTTGATGCAGTTAAATCTCCATATATAGCAAGGAGATTACAGCAGATGCCCTCACCACCGCTTCAGGCTTTTAGGGTAGGGTTAAAGTGTCTTCCCTCCTGAGTCAGTCGTGGTCCTTCACCTATTTCCTGCACGCTGCTGACATCAGCACTGTGATTGATGGTGCAGAATCTGGGCTTTGGGGCTTATCTTGCAGAGCAAAGGTTTGTTGCATCTACGTGCATGCTCGTTGTTCTCTGTTCTTTGTACCCCACTTGTGGAGCAATCGTGGCAGCTGGGGAAGGAGAGCTGGCATGGGACTTTTTAACAAGGGCATGTAGTGATAGGAGAGGGGAGAATGGCTCTAAACTGGCAGAGGGCAGGGTTAGGTAAGATACTAGGGAGAAATGCCTCACTCAGAGGGTGGTGAGGCACTGGAACAGGCTGTTCAGAGAAGGTGTGGATGTCCCATCCCTGGAAGTGTTCAAGGCCAGGCTGGCTAGGACTTTGAACAACCAGGCCTAGTGGAAGGTGTCCCTGCTCATGGCAGGGGGTTGGAACTAGGTGAGCTTTAAGGACTCTTCCAACTCAAACCAGTCTGTGATTCAGTGATTCAAGTGAGGCTCAATGGGAGCAACCAGGATGTGGCATGGATAGAGCCAGGGCACATGTCACAGTCCTGCAGCTCTGTGGGTGCTTGCTGATGCAGGGGTTTGCTGGAACTTACTGGATCCAGGTGTGTCACTGAAATTGAGTGGGATTCTGGCTCCAGGTGTTCTGTCACACGTACCACACTGTTACAAGTGAGACTTAAGTAGCTTCAGGGATTTTCCAGCATGCCAGGGCACCTCACTCCTGATGTCAATGTAAGGTAGCAGCCTTGGCGAGTTTGAAAGTCCCCCTGGACATTTACTGAAACCCTGTTCAGCCAAACCCCTCATCCAGCCTCCTTTTCCTTTTGGCTGTACTGGAGTAGCCCTGGAGATAGAAGAAAAATGCAGGAATCAAACCCCTTGCCCATCCTCAAAGGCAGTAAATCCTTTCTAGATGTTAAGAAAAGGAACTGTCTTCCTCTATGTCATGGTTTTGCTCTGGGTCAATTTGCTTTCACACTCCCCACACAAATACTTTTAAGTTGAGAGAAGGTTTATGCAGACAAAAGAGATTGGATTTGGGGAAAAATAATATGAATATTTATTACTAGCAAAATAAAAACTACCAAAGAATGACATCTATAACGATTCTACTTAAGTAAAAGTGCTATGTATTTACAGAAATACTTTTCCCCCCTTTATATCAGTCCAAGGAGGAGAAGCAGTTTCTTTTTCTATTCTCGGAGCTCCAGGTCTCTTCAATAACTCAGCAGCACTCTCGTCGCAGCTGGAACTCTTTCTCTCTTGCTCTGTGTTGGCCTCCAGGGCTGGGCCTACCCCCCTCTCGGGCTAAGACCGGAGGCTGGGGGTTACCCAGGCCCTGAAGGTCTTTTCTTCCATAGACTTGCAAGGGGACACTTACTTACTATCGATCTTCTTCCATGGAGTTACAGGGGATAATGGCTTATGAGTCCACCCCTGTTTCCCTGTGGAGGTCCCATCCTACAGGAGAACAGTCCTTGATAGACTTCTCCAGCATGGATCTCGCATGGATCCCACACATGGATCCCAACATCCCACCTGAGCCGTCTCGCTCCAGCATAGGTTTCCCTCAGGGTAACAAATCTTCAACAGGACTCTGCCTTATCTCAGTCCCTCCCATGAAGTTTCGGTTCTCTGGTACCTTCACAAGCTCCTCTGTGAGCCGCATGGGGGGTTTCCTCACCCCAACAATCTTCTACACTCTGTTATGAAGAAAAACCTTGGTCTGAATTTATATCCATTTATGTATTTTTATGTGTATCCATATGTGTATTGCTGTGGTTAAGCACAGTACACATTACACTGTCTGATGTGTCCGCTGAAAAGTCAAGAAACAGTTTCTGTGAAAGCCACAATGTATGTTCCTGCTGTACTGAACGGATTTATGAATTTGATTTTATATATCCTTTCACATACATGTCTGTATCAGCACAAAAATATGGCTCTGTGGACCCTTATGTATCGTTCCTGTAGGCTCTCATCTGTCATTTCTCTATAGACTGTATGTATGATCTATCTCTCTGTCTAACCCTAGACTTTATATTCATCTAGTATATGTCATGGCTAAGTATTCATGGGTTTTACAGAAACATTTCTTTTTGTTTTGATGCAGATTCATAAAGCAACTTTCCAAGATGATGCTCTGAGGAGTGTACCAAAGAGCTCTGAAGAGCTTGAAGGTGGCAAGTACAGGAGTGGCACACCTAAACTGCTCCTGGCTGCCCTGGAACATCCCACTGAATCTAACATTTATGGTAAATAACTTCCTGCTGGTGGCATTATTGCAGGAAATGCTAAATTAATCTGATGTTGAATGGTTACAGGCTTACCTTTCCTCATAACTCTATGTTAATGTTACTTTAATTATTCCTGACTTACAATGGTGTCGAATGTTGATAAAAGCTGAATTGCTACTTGAAATGCTGATCCTGACAGTCTTGTGGCAGGAGCTAAAATGTGATTTCCCAGTCTTAGGGGAAAAAGAAGGAATACATTGCTACTGCGATTAGAGCACTTCAGAAGAAATGTATTCCAGTCACATCTCATGGAGCACTCACCTGAATGCCTCTTGCTTTCAGTGGCCTTTGCACACGACATAAAAGGAATATACACTCTCCTGTTTTTATTTAAAATTTTATGGCAGTTGCTGATGTGAATTCAGTTCAGTGTGTGTGAACAGGTTTCCCCACAAGAAAGATGTATGTGCATAGAGCAGGGGACATTTCCTTTGCCTGACACCTGACAGCTGACACATGGGAGTAAATCTTATGGAGGAAGCAGGGAAAGACCAATTCTCACTGCTATCACCTGCTCTGCCGTTTTGAATCTGAGCTTTTTGACTCCAAACTCTGTCACTGCCTGTTTCTGAACACCTGCTGTTTATCTCAGGTATCCCCTGTGTAACAGTGCCATTTTAATGGTGTAAAGAAGATGGGAACTGTGTGGTTGAAGACTGCCAGAACTGGGAAATCACAGGGCTTAATTTCCCATTGAGCCCAACAGGTCCCCTCCAAAATCCCCTCCCTCTAAGTGCTGTAGGAGGAAATAAGCAGCTCTGACATTTCTCAGCACTCCCACCCCTCCCCAAAGTCCAGTGACCTGTGTGGCAGGGGAAAGGTTGAGGAAGGGAGGAGAAATGTTTACAGAGTAGAATTTTGGGGAGTGTGGGGAACCTTCTTCCACTGTCCTTCACAAGCAACCACTGTGGCCTTCACTGTAGGGAAAATGTTCCGTCTCTCAGAGGTGTTTGAGGGTTTTGTTTGTTTATTTAAAAAAGAAAGCATCTGGCATTTGTATGCAAACATTAAAGAGTCATTTAAAATATACTCAGCACTGCACTTGGGAGGCTGGGATCTTCCAGCTAGAAGACATGAGATGAAAGGGAGCAGGCACACCCCAAAGGACTTCTTTCCAAGGACGAGGAGGGGAGACAAATCTTATTTCTACCTCCTTTCTCTTCCCAGCTCACCACAACTCCAGGAGCACTTCTGGCCTTCTAAGCCCCCTTGATGAGTACTTTGAAATCAGAGTTAAAAGGAGTATCTTTGAGGCTGCTGTGCCCTCTGTAGAGAGTCTGGTGCTTGCCAGTGGGTCTCTCCAAGGAAAGCAGTTTATTTCTGGCACTGTGCAGGGCCACAAATAGACTTGCCAGTGGGGAGGGAGAAGTGTGGGTTGGTCTGGCTCTGTCCTTTCCGCAGTGTCAGCTGGCAGCTGGAACCACCTGAATCCATTAAAATTCATAAATATATGAGAAGTGAAGCTCTAAGAAGACTCGGCCGCATTCTCGGAGGTTTGTGGGCAGCACAGCAGGCCAGGAAGCTCTGGCTGGAGCCATGTTTGAAGGCCAGTGGACAGGGATCTGCTGCAATGCTGGGATTACAGGAACTTCTGGAATTTCTTTACAGGAGGAAATTTTCAAGTATAAATTCAACATTTAAATCTTCAGCAGTGTAGCACTCAGAGAATTTCAGTTTTGGGAGAAGGAAATCTTCCTGCTTTAGATTTGTCTGTGGGAAGGAGCTGTAAGCTAAATTTCCCAACAGGTACTCTTATGTCAGGTTACACTTCTACTATCTTTTCTATCAGTGGCAGCATGATGACGTTGTGCTGGTTGTGCCAAGCGTTTTCCTTCTGCAAAGCCTACACACTGCAAGATTATTAGAATGAAGCTACTGTGCTAGAAACAAATACTTGATTTTATTTACTGCTTGGTTTTGGTTATTCCTGCTTCTAAGGCCTTTACTAGAGAGAGGAAAACAAGAACTGAAGCAACTCTGGCCCCTGGGATGTGTTTAAGAAACGGAGAGAGCACTGTGTGATCCAAACACCTGCTGAAATATCCCCCATGCACCCAGAGAGATGCTCTCTTGTGTTTCTCCCCTCTGGCATATTGAACTCATCCATCTTCCAAAATGCGTTTTGTAGAAAGCTGCTGAATCATACACAGAAACACTCATGGGAGGGGGAAAAGAGACTTCCTCGGGCAGTGCTCAGCAGTGGAGGGTGGTCTAATGGACCTTCGTGGCTGCTGCTGCAGAGAACACTGAGGACATGCAGGTCCAACACCCCTGTTTATGGAAGTAGTTTGCATTTGAGGAAAAGCTGTAATTTTTAAAATTTATTTTAGATAGATATAGCATATTTTCTTTTGCCTTTGGAAACAGCCGTGCCTCTGTGTGTGGAACAGTTTTACTGTGGTTCAAACTGTACGGGCTCCAGAGGCATCTCACACTGCACCAGTGTTCATAAACCCTTACATCTTCCATGTGCAGATGAACCCTTGATGGCCCTCCATCTCCTGGCAGTGTCAGTTCCTGTGGACAGCTGGGTGCAGGCCCTTGAGATGTAAAGGAAGAGCATATTTCAGTCTGTCTGAAGCATATTTCAGTCTCTCTTTCGAAGAAGCAATGCAGCTGGTTCATCAGCTGCTGTGGAACTTGGATGCCTCCCGGAGATTGCTCCTGTGTCATCATCCCACAGACTTTGGAGGCAGGGTTGCTTAATTTTCAACAGGATGTTTCATACTTCTGAATACTGCATGACCTAGAGCGCTGTGTGGATGGAAGGTTAGAGTGAACCATTTAAAAAGTCTATCAGAAGGAGAGAGTAAGCACCTTCTCAGTGTGGTTAAAGGAGCTGGAAACAATGGTGCCCAAAATGGGACAGTGCTGCAGGGAGGGATTTTGGTGATCCTCTCTCCCAGTGCTGCTTGTGAGGCTGAAAAATGACGAATGCTTGGGCAGGAGAGAGCAGATACCCAGAGCTAGAAATGTGAGTGAAAGAGTGGAAGAAGGTGAGTAGTTGCTGAAGGGGTCACAAAGCATCTGAGGAGTATTTCTGCAGAGAGGCTGAATTTCTGTACCCAGGCTAGTGCAATAATTAATCTTTTGTGATTCTGACAGATGCCTGCAGAGAAGCTGAAACAAAAGATCATGGTCTGACAGTGATTAATGCATCATTAGGTGTCAGATTAAGATTTTGGAAATGGGTAAATAAGCCGTAGGCCAGGTTGATTGTGTTTGGGAAAACTGCAGAGGCTGATAGCCTGGGGGGGAGCTGGGCTTCAGCACTTACTTACCACAGGCATTTACTATGTGTTGTCTGAAACCACCCTGTTCACAGGACAGGAGGAGAAACGGGAGCACAGTTTCTGAAACAAAGCTCTGCTTCAGGCCTTGGTTGTATTGGAAAAGGGACAAAAGACAGAACCAACCCCAGCCTGTGTTGGCCTGGCATCTTTGCAGGGTGTGGAGGAGGCTGGGCAATGGCCAGAGTTCCAGGACACCACAACATTGCAAAGCATCTGTGAAGGAGGGAAATGCAGTTCTTGCTGTCTATACTAACAGCAGCAGCCTTTAATCTCTGTAGCTTGTGTTTTCCTTATTTAAGATGGGGTTACTTATGCTCAACCCTGTTTTGCAGAGTGCTGCTATCTCTGTGTGAATGTTTCTGTAGAAAACCACAATATTTAACACATCACATTGCTCTGTGGCTCTGCCTAGTTCTTGCACCTGTTTCCAATCTTACATTTTATCTGAGCTGTTTGTCAGTTTTTGGAAGAGGGATTTGCTCTGAAGAAAATCTCCACAAAGGGCTGGAGAAAGAGGATGGCTGTTAAGCCCTCCTCAGCCTTAGTTAGTACGGCATAAACAAGGTGGGGGCTGCACACATCCCTTCACCTCAGTGTTCAGCACTGCACAGGATCATCATTGAAGTGTTAGCTATAGTCACATGTGGCCATCCTGTGTTTGCCCATTTTCCTCTGGATATCTGAATGGAAGTGCTTTAATCCTGCCTGTTCTTGCTATGAAAAGCTGTTGGCATCGTGTGTCTGTTCAGTGAGTATCACAGTCTGCTCCTGCTCTCCTGACTGCCTGCATCGGGGGCTCTCTAGGGCTTGTTGCAGCTCTCCTCCAGCCCCAGGTCTCAGTTGTAGTCCTAAAGTGTTTTATTTTGTTCGCTGGACCTTTCCTCTTGTTTTCCTGTTGTTGTTCACTGTGACTAGCACTGCCTCATTTCTTCCTCAGAGTAATACAAGCAAACCAGTTTCCCCACATCCCACTGCTTCTGGGCAGGGCTCATTGTCTGCAGGGGCATCTGGCCTGCAGCACCAAGAACCTGCTGAAAACCTTCCAGAACTGAGCTCCTTTCCATGAAAATATGGAGCCGTGTTTTCAGGCTGATGTAAACTGGTATAGCTCCACTGATGTTGATCCAGCTTATACAAGCCCAAAAATATGGCTTAAACTCACTCTGTTGGAATGGAGCCAGCTCCGAGGCATACCTGTCCCATGGGGATGCTGAAAAGTGAAAATTGCTTCCACCCTTTTTGGCTGATAATCCACAAACGAGACACAAATTTGTTGTGATAGAAGGGCTGCAGTGCCACAGTGAGACACTTCCCCCACTGTAAAATGTCACCGTTCTGGAGAGAGGTTCAGCAGCTGTTCAGCAGTGTAGCCCAGGTGGCAGAGATGGTCCTTTTATTTACACAGCTCCATAAATGAACTCACTGCTGTGCAAAATAACAGCCCTTCCTTGAGCAGTTTCCAATGCACCTCACTATGGAGCAAAGCAGGACAGTGCTGCTGTGAGCCCAGCAATGTTGCAAGAAAAGTCCCAGCTGCTCTGGTGGCTGTAGGAGCGAGCACTGCGAGAAAGACAGCACTGTGTCACCAGTGGGGCTTTACAAAATGTGTCTGGAGGTCAAAACCCACCTTCCCTTTTGCTTTCTTTCAGGAAAGGCAAGGGAAAGAATTGCTCCACCTTGCATGTACAAAACAAGATGCCACGTTCCTCACAGCGTCCAGAGTTGACATGGATGAACAGCTCTCCCAGAGGGACCTGCTTCCCTGTGGGAAGGTGCTGCCCAGGACAGTAACGTTTCTGCTACTGGAGCTGAGGTAACACTTTTCAGATTCCCTGGGATTCAAGGGTTTGTGACATCTGGTCACATCCATCTTTTGTCTTTTTTTCTTTTTTTCTTTTTTGAAATTTCCTTTTTTCTCAGGGGGAGCTGGTGCCAAGAGGCTTCTCACCAGGGCTGCAGGACCACGAGCTCCACACTGAAAGGGATAAGGAGGTGGAGCAAGAGGGAGGCAGACTACCAGGCACTGTGAACTTGGGCTTTCCCTGGGGTTGTTCATGTGTGCAATCACCAGGGTTTTCCAAGGTAAAAGGCTTCAGCTGCTGTGCTGGCTGATGGTGCAGGAGCAAGCATTGCCAGCTCTGCAAAGCTGCACCCTGGAAAGAGCTGCTGTGATTGGAAAGTGGAGTTTATTAACTCCAGATTTTTCCAGTGAGGCTGGCACGCCAACAATGGGGTCTGAACACAAAGGATCCCTTGCAGATATAAATCATGGGAAGGCATCTCCAAAGGCTCCTGCTGGCCTGAGTCACACACAGCCGCTGTGCCAAGTGCCAGCTGCTGAGTGGCAGCGGGCCTGCAGCTGAGTCACAGGCACCCAGCTCAGGGGGCATTACTGGTGGCCTGATTAGCAAACCCACCAAAAGAGTGCTGTGCTGACTGCAGAGCACAGGTGTCTCAAAGAGAGGGCTTGCCCCTTACTGATGGGCAAAGGGAGCTTGGGGCAGCTGGTCAGTCGGTAGGGGAAAAGGAGGAGCTGAGTTATAGGTCCCGTGGTGGTTCAGTTGAGGAGAGGTGTTAGGGAATAGCTAAGGGATTTACCCCTGATAAAGGAAGCAGGGCAATAGCTATTGCTGTCCCAACCATCATAACCCTCTACCTCGTTTCACATGTTTAGAAATATCTTTATTATGTTATTCGGACTACAGGACAGATGGAAGGGTTGGAAAGGTTATCTCCTACTGTGCTTGATGCAGCCCCACAGCTGGAAATAAACATCACTGGAGCTGAGCCAGTACAGAGAAGATGTGTGTTCACCCTTTGTCTGCTCTGGCACAGCCTCAGCCTTCCTGGGGTGAAGGGCGGGAGCCTGAGCCTCCCCTCCTGTGGCTGCAGCAGCCTCGCACTCACCCATCTGGCTGGCAGCTTAAAGCCCTCCTAGCTCTGCTTGGAAGAGGACCCTTCACTTTGTACAACATCCTTAAGAAAGGTTTAGGAGAGGGTTGGGTACATCAGGAACAGCTGACAGGATGGGAAAGACAGCAAGCAACTCTCTTGCTGTGCTCCTCCTGTGCATTATAATGTCTTTCATCCCTTGACTCCCCTGCAAAAGCTGGTGGAGTTCACTGACAGATGAATGGTTTCTGGCAGCTAAATGAGTAATTGTTCTCTTTTTGTTGGATTTATTTAGTTTTTTGTTTTGTTTTTACAGGGAAAAGGCCATATTTGGGACTTGAAGTTAGGTCAGAATTGGAGCTGGAACTTTGAATACAATTTGTATTCCCCCAAAATGGTGCTGTACTCTACTCTCTCAGCCTTGTCCTCAGGTAAGGGCTCTACTTGCTCTACACTTGAGCACTGAACAATTTTTCTTGCTGCTGCTGAACACAGCAGGATGCTGAACTCTACTTTTCAAGTCCTTTATAATAACTGATTATCTTGAACCTTCAAATTTTGCTTGGAGTATAAACTTTTCATGGGGACACTTTCCTGTTTGCACATACTCTGTAAATCTTGATGTTAGTCTTTGATTGGGACCTTGTTGATATTTCTGCAGAGTAAATAGAGTTATCATATGTATCCAGAACTTAAAATTCAGGTGACAGCAGCCTGTGTGGGTGCAGGGATGTGCATTGCAGAGACAGGCAGAATAAAAGTTCAGTTATTTTTCTTTTCTTTTTGTGCCACAGGACAAACCTTCTAAAAAAATGAAGGCTTTGCCACATGTTTTCTATAACCAGCCAAATAAAATATTATGTTTGATATCATTCAGGCTCAGAAAAATAACTCAGGCTCTGGGCTTGTCATTTTTTTTTCCTCACAATACCTTCTGCTGAATGATAATCTTCAAAGCTATGCATGTGGGGGGCCAGATCCTGACCCCCACTGCATCTGCTCTGCACTCCTGCAAAAAGTGCTGAACAGGCAAAGTGAGTTCAGCTGGATTTCTGGAGATAATCCTGCCCCACAGCTGACAGGCACTATGACTGTGCACTATGGCCAGAGTGTGGCAGAAGGAAGAGAACTTGTGATACTTGTGTATTTGGGTACATGTTGGGTGGGGCTGTGGATATTTCCCCCAACAGCAGCCCAAGGGTGAGGTGGTCCCTGGCCATGCTGATATCAGGGCTCTGGTGCCTGGCAGGAGGCACAACTGTGGTTGTTTTCTGGATACGGGTGTTATTGCCACATGAGAAATGCATGTGTCACATGGAGTGCAATTTTCCCGAGCTTTCTTATGTGTATGTTTCTTGATGCAAACTTCAGAGTGTTTGGTTACCAGACAGCGGTCCCAAGCAAGCACAGCAGCTGGGGCATTCGTGCTGCAGGCTTCCCAGTGCCCGAGTCTGTGGACAACACGCACATCTCTGTCATGAAACAGTCTCCTGGAAGTGTTCCCTGGAGCGTGTTTTCTTTTCAGCAGCAAGCAGGGGCATTTGCTGTCTTGGAAGGCCTTGCTGATGTATAACTTGGTGCTGGTTGCTACAAGCAGTAGAAACTTTTTCTGCATTAAAACGGAGAAAATCAAGCTAGAGTGGGCTAGAGCTATTCTCAGAGCATGCTGTGTTTGAGTAACCCAGTAGTTCTCTTTAAAGACTCTGAATAGCTTGGTTTATACAACCTTTTTTCACTGTTTAAAATTGATGTCTTGTTTTAACAGTAGATCAGTCTTGGCTAGTTTGTTAAAAAAAAAAAAAAAATCTGCATCGAGTTTATCCATAATTATCCACCTCTGAAATTCCAATTTTGCCTGTTCTCCATTTTCTCACAAATTGGCAATACTCTGAGCTTTCCTTGGAGGGATGGATCATGAAACAGAGATCAATGAGGAAATTTAAGTTTTCCCTACAATATAATACTAAAAAGCATAGGGCATTTTGTTGTGGTTTTTTTTTTTTTTTTTTTGTAATGATGGAGGAAAGATTGAAAATGAGATCTGAATATACTCCCCAGGCTCAGGAACCAGAAAACTATGAATAATAAAATCCATTGCAATTTTTCATTTGCTTGGGTTTTTCTGTTTTTAAACCAGCAATAGGATTTCAGAGGCTTCATTTGCACATTTATCCCTAGGAATGGCAATGCTGGGATCCTATCGAATACTGCAGGACAGCTGCTCCAAATTGCACTGTGTTTTCCCCGATTAGTCCATCCATCTTCCCAAAGTCCATTTCTTTCTACCCCAAAGCAGTTTCTCACTGATGGAGTTTGCTGTGTGACGCACTTTGCTGTGTTTTCAGTTTGCTGTGTGACCCAGAGGAGCCTGCAGCTCGCAGGGCGAGTGCCTCATGGCTGTGCCTTTCCCAGGTACTTCCCACAAGACAGGTATCCGTTCTGTCTGCTCCCAGGGCTGGTCATTGCAGGATATGAATAGATTCCTTCCAAAACTAGGTGGTAAATGGACACTTTTGGTAAAATCCCAGCCTGGTTTGAGGACTGCTGGTGGTGGCAGCTACAGCCATGGGAGGCTGATTTGATTCCAGAGTGCAGGTGTCTGCAGGCTCCCTTTTTGTTGTGTTTCCTGGTAGGCTTTCCAAGGTGGCAGATGGGGAGAAGTGCTGCGACTGGAATGACTTTCCCCCCTGGCCACCCTGCAAGAGGGGTAGCCTGCCCTGAGTAGCACCCTCTCACCATGGGCTGAGCCTGTCACCTGCCTTCATGTGCCATGATGCCTCTTCCACTAGGGCTGCTCACAGTGTGGGCACCAAGTATATCCACTGATAGAGAAAAATCCCAGGGAAGGAGGGTAAAGCACAGGTACTTTCTTGCTGCACCTTTAATCAGGACTTTGCTGTTTTGCTGCTCGGAAAGGAAATTGGGTTTGGGGTTTTTTTTAATCCCTCTCTTCTCCCAGGTCTCCAAAAGGATGCATGCTGTTCTCTAGCAGTCTTATGTATCCTGTTGTGCATCCCGATCACTGAGGAGGAACTGTGCTTGTTCCAACCAGCATCCACTGAGCAGCCAGACCACTTGTGACAGAGAGGCACAGCTCCACCTTCTTTGCTCCTGAGCACTTTCTGCTGCTGGCTTTGCTTCTCTACCTGCTGTTTATAGTACAGGTTTGTCACAGATGTAAGCTCATTAATCATCCCAAGCCATGCTTCCCTGATTCCATTTATAGCACTTTCCTTCTCTATTCCGTTTCACAGCCCCCACCTTGGTCACTGCTCAGTTCTTGGAATCTGGGCTTTGTTTTTATTTAAGCCTGGAATGGATAAAGCATGAAAAAAGAGGAAAATTTGGAATGGCAGACGAACATCACAAGCAAAAATGTATGTAGGAGACATTTAATGTTAGACTACTCAGCCTAAAGTGCATGGGCAGGGGACTGGCAGCAAAGCTATTGAAGTGAAATAGAGACCATTTACCCTAAAAAGTTAATAGGCACAGGACAGACAAACAGGAGCCCTTTCATCCTCTTGGGATTTCTTGTGTCCTGCCAGCAGCTGAGATTGCTTTACTGCCCTTAGCACTGGTCAGTCCAGTGCTGACCCTTGGCCACCAGCCTGGCTGGGAGTCCCATGGGCAGCCCGCAGGAGGAGGGGAAGCGACACTGAATGTAAAATTCTCTGCAGAGGTATTTAGGTGCCCAAACATAGTGGCCTTTCAAGAGTGTGGTGGTTTGACCCTGGTTAGATGCCAGGTACCCACCAAAGCCACTGTACCACTCCCCTCTGCAATTGGACAGGGGTGAGGAAACACAAAAAAAGGCTCACGCATTGAGATAAGGACAGGGAGAGAGCACTTACTGATTATTGTCACGGGCAAAACATACTTGATTTAGGGAAATTACTTGAATTTATTACTAATCAAAATCAGATAATGAGAAGTGAAACAAATCTTAAAAAACACCTTCCCCCCACCCTCCCTCCTTCCTGATTTTCTACCTCCTCCCTGCCACAGCAGCACAGGGAGATGGGGAATAGAGGTTACGGTCAGTTCATCACGTGATGTTTCTGCTGCTGCTTCCTCCTCAGAGAGAGGAGTCCTTCCACTGCTCCAGCGTGGGGTCTCTCCCACAGGAGACAGCCCTCCACAAAGTTCTCCAGCATGAGTCCTTCCCATGGGCTACAGTTCTTCATGAACTGCTCCAGTGTTGGTCCCCTCCACATGGTCAGTCCTTCAGGAACAGGCTGCTTCAGTGTGGGTCACTCCTCTCTTCTCTGGCTGCAATTACTTCTGCACAATAACATTTTTCTTCTTAAATATGTTATCCCAGAGGTGTTATTGCCATCCCTGATGGGCTCAGCCTTGACCAGCAGCACATCCATCTTGGAGCCAGCTGACATTGGCTCTGTTGGACTTGGGGGAGGCTTCCAGCAGCTTCTCAGAGAAGCCACCCCTGCAGCCCCCCTGCAGAACCCAATGCATTAAGTTCTTTGGGAGACTGGAGGGAGAGAGGAGGAAAATACCCATTTCCGGGGTTGAGTCTGAAGAGCCTGACCCACCTTGAGGCCTTGGAAAACCTCATAAGGCACCTCTCTTCATGTCTAGGCTCCTAAATATCTTGGGAAATCTGCTTCAAAGTAGTTATTACTTCTGTTTCTGCCTGCTCAAGGCTGGGAACAGAGTCTCAGCGGTGTGTGGAACTTGCTGTGTGAAACTGCTGCCATAACACGAGGGTTGTACAGATTACAGGCGTGGCAAATGACTCCTTCAGTAGCATGTTCCTAGCTGACATTGGTTTGCAATAGGTCTGTCAACAGCAGCTGGAGAGATCCTGGAAGACAATATGTCAGTTGCCTGGGTTGGTTTTAATTCTTTAATCCTTTGTCTGCAGCTAACGTGTTGCAGTATTGCTTAGGGATGAGCTGTGCTGCTCCCACTGCTGTACTCTGGCTGGTTTGGAGTGTGGGGTCTGCCTGGCCGGGTCCAGGAGGAGCTGGGAAGATGGACTGGCCTGCAGGACTGTTTGAAAGCTGCACAGACCTGTAAGTCACTTGTATTTATATAATTTTATCCGTCTTTTTCTACATCTGAATTTTAAACATCCGTTATAAGGCAATACTGCTTTAGAGGTGAGCCAAGTTTTTCTTCTAAAACACATGTTCCCTAAAGCCTTAGTACTTCATTTCCTTTGTTCTGATTTATTGCTGTTGCCTTACCACATGTGCTAGGCAGAGCAGAGAAAAAAATACCCCAACCACAAAAAACTACATAACAGTCCTCTCTATCCTCTCCCCAGACCACATATATCAGGATTAACACAATGAATATATTATATCAGCTGTTTCAACAATGAACTAACTTATCTGTAATTTCTTAGCTGCTTCCAAGTAAATATGCTGATGAAGAGTGAGTGTAGGTTAATAATGTGAAGATTATGGTAAACCCAGTGAAAGCTACTGTGGGGAACTGAAAAAATGGAATAGATACTAAATCGTGGGAATGATAGTGAGATTAAAAAATAAAAATTGTTGGCTGATTTTCTAAATGGCATTTTGTAGATATAAATTTTTATGTGCCTTTTATCAATACCTAAAATGGCCTAATTTGTCAAAAGCTCTCTTCTACAAAATAAAGGCCACTTTTTGGTATCCCAGGGTAAGCATCAAGCAATCAAGGCATGCAATTGCTAGAAAAAAAAAAAGGGCAAAAAATAAAAAAAAAAAATTGGTTGTTACTGTGAGTTTTATAGGGCTCTTTGAGATAGAAAAGTTCTGTTGAAATTTGCTTTCTTGGAGGCTGTTCAGCCTTGACAATAACAGAAGGCTGAATTATTTTCACTGGGATTTATACTAAAGTAAGCTCCGTGTTTTCCTCTTCAAATGCAAAGCAATAATGCAGAGATTGAGTTGTGGCCACGAGTCAGATGAACCTCAGCAGAGAAAAGCTGATTTGGCACAGTGGGGTGTCTGTGCTGTGCCTCAGGCAAACCTAGGAAGTGCCCAAGTCCAGACCCACAACTGGGATTGTTGTAAGTCTGCAAAAACTTCCCTATCCGTAATGGAGTTTGTGACTCCCTGAGCACACATTGGATGTCTGGTGTCTCGGCCACGTCCCTGGACATGGTGGGACTGGTGACTGACTGAAATGATTCTGTGTTACTGTGAGGGTTTCCAAGGTGTAGTTTGTGTCCGGTCCCCACTGGCCACTCTCACACTGTGCAGGACTGGAGAGCTGCTGGCTGGTTCCTGTGTGCCACGTCCAGGTGGCTGCTACCAGCACTAAGCAGAATTGGGGATTTTGTGAGCTGGTGGTTACCACTAAGCTCAGAGGGCTGGGATGCAGCCTCTCTTTGCAGACAGACCTGTTCGCCTTCCCAATGGCAGCGATAGCAGGGGGCTGGGATACACTTCCCTCCAAGATCACCACGGGCTTTAGGAAAGATGAAGTGGTGAAACACATTGTGTCCCAATGCTCTAGAAACATAAAGGTCAACTGACACCAAGCAGTCACAAGGGAAGGGATATCAGAGGGGAACAATCTCAATACTTGCCTCCTGAATACTTTCTTCCGTTCCATGAACCAGATGGGCAGCAGCTCGTGCTGTCGGGTACTCTCACATTATTATCTGAGCTGATGTACCACGAGCTGCAGTTCTTTACTTGTGTTTTCCCTTTGAGTCAGGCTATTGATGGGAAGTTTGTTGTCATACTCAGGCCTGTTAACTGTATTAGTTAACAAAGGAGAGCATTCAAACGCCTGCTCAGAGGCATATTTGTCTTTTTTTTTTTTTTTAATTAATTTTTTTCCCTCCTTTTTAAATGGAAACAAGCTTTCCTAGCAGAATGTTTAATGGAATCTGCTTCCTTGAAACCAAAATGAGGCAACAGCTGAGATTGCAGCAAGCTGCAACATCTCATTGCTGGATGGAGGCACATCCTGTTACAAGTGGTGCTGCTGCAAAACCTCAGAAAAAGAACCTACAGAGACCTGCCTGGTCTGTGAACTCCCCTGAGGTGAGCTGAAGACGTAATTTCACTTGGTTTCTTTGAAGAAAGAGCTGTACATACTCCAGGCAACTTCAGTGAACAGAAGCTTCAGTAAACCTAGACCTGAATTTGAGAGAATTTGGCTCAATGGGTGGGTTTCTGTGAAAACTAAGTCAAATTTTGTCCCCAAACCAGTAAAACTTCCTGGTTTTGAGCATCTCTGGAGGATTCAGTTAAGCCAGGAAGTCGAGGACACTGATGACACAGAAACTCCGTGCTGGTGCATAAGTCTCACCTAAATCCTAAAGTCAAGATCAAATGCTAGTATAAAATGAACAGACTGCTGCTTTGACAAAACTCTGAGGACAACTACTCTAAAATATGTATCATTGAGCATCTTTGTAATAATAATAATAATAATAATAATAATAATAATAATAATAATAATAATAATAATAATAATCATCCAATGACTTTAGACTGCTTTCAGGTCCAACCAAGCAGTGCTTAAAGCAGTGTACTTGGTACCAAGGTCTTGTAAATTCTTTGTATTAGTATGACTTGTGTGGTTCTTGGAAGCTTTCTGAAAGGGCAAATTCTGTTTTGTGTTGGAGGAAAAAAGTCAAACTGTGCTTGCCTGGTTGAAATCTACTTGTGAGAAGGTCTTTCTCAGAAAGACTAAAGAGCCTTGGGCCCTTTTTTGTTTTCTTAGAAAACAGGAAATGAGTTTTAGCTCTGCAGTTAATTTCTTAAGTGACTTGCTTTCTACGATCACTTCTGGGTTCTGGAATGCTACAGAAGTTATCTGAGGGCATTTTCAACACTTCAAAATTAAAATCAAATTGTTTGAAATAGTGCCAGCATTTTAATGAAAAATATTTTCTTTAAACAAACATTTGAGGACTTTCAGGGTTTTTTTAATCACAAGAGCATTCTTAACCCCAACACTTTTTCCTCATGGTTTTTCAAGGGTCCGTTCTGCACTGCTAAAACCAAACGTGTCTCAGAATGTAATCAAATTCCAGATCTTTTCAGCAAAAATCTAGATGAGTGGAGAGTACTCATTTCTCACACAGCACAAAGACAGAAGTAGGTGTAACTGCAAATATCATCTTTGTCTCTGTGCCCACAGAAATGTCTGGGCAGCAATACCAGCAAAGGCTTCTGCTGTGTGGAGAGGGGTCAGGCGTGAAGCTGAGACCTGTGCGACTCTCAACAGTGAGCATGGAATCATGGAGGCAGGAGCTGGCTGTAAATTAATTGCTGCACAGATACTCTGGTACCTAGCTTTCCCTGCAGTGGAGATGAGAGAGCCACAGAAGCTGCTGCAGATTAATGGGAGAGGATTGGTCCAGCCCTTGCATCTTTGGAGGGGTTTGGTGAGTTTATACAGAGCTCGGGGGATGTTGCGTGTAGCCGGAGGGTGAGTCTGGGTGCCAGGAGCAGCACCGAGTCTGGAGTTCTGAAGCACTGGAGCTTCTACCTGGAGCTCTTCCAACACTCAGGACATGGCTGGCTCTTGCTCTTTTCCCATGCCGTGGGATTTAGCTGGCCCCGAGGCATTTCATGGATGCTACAGCCTCTCAGGCACAGGTGGGTTTGAGCTGTAAGTCAGAGCAGCCAGAAGCTGCCCTGTATCCTGCTATAGAGACCTGTAAATCCAGGGACTGGTGTTTCTGGCAAAGTCCATCTAGGTCAGTGTCTCGTTCCTGACAGAGGTCAGCAGCAGCTGCCCAGGAGATGAGTTTGAGAACAGGATACGCGTGTGATAAGGTCATTCCTTGATGCTCTCTGCTAGCTCTGGGATTTTTAGAAACAAAGGATTTCCATGGAGCTCGGTGGCCTTGTTCTTCTCCAAGAAGACCCCACATCTGGGCTCTGGGTGCCAGCCCTGCTGCCTGCCTGGGGGTCGAGGTTTCTGGTGGTGGTGTGTGAAAGCCCTCAGTGCAGGGGCTTCTCTTGGAGAACAGTGGCTGTCCCTTGGGCAGCTCTCAGCCCTGCTAGGATAAGGCCTTGCTCTTGCCCTAGCCAGGGGTTTGGTTACAGTTGCTGGGTGATCACTGACTGTGAGAATGGGAAATTAAATCAAGCTCTAGAAAAACAGTGGTTGAGGGTTTCTGACATCATTTCATAGGTGGAGTTGTGAGAAGTGGGACACTTTAAGGTAAAGGAAGCCAGCTGGGCATGTGGTTTTATTTATTACTGCCTCTTTGATGGATGTTTCTCCTTAGGGAGATCAGAAGCAGGGCTGATTGAGGAGTAGGTACCCTGCTCTGACAGACTCTGTCGTGTCTGTGGGTCATAAATGAAGAAGCCTGAAAGAAGTTCCCCTCAGCAACACAAATTCCTTGCTATTGTCAAGTAACTGCAGACCTTGTATGTTGGCAAAAAAAAAAAAAAAAAAAATTAAAAAGCCTTCCTAATGAGCCCAGCAACACAAGCTCCTCAATCAGCTGCAGGTCAGAGAGCCAGTGCTGCACGTGTGCTTTCAGAAAGGGTGTGGAGCAGAAAGCGTGCTGTAGGATTTGGGATGGTTTTTTGTCTTTTGGGTGCTATTGGTTACACTCGGTCCATCAGCAAATGCTTGTAAGAGATGCTGTCATTCATTTGCTGAGAAGAACACGTGTAAGTACAAGTGACCATGTGATCTCAAGACTTTGATGTGTTTCCCAATGTATTAGATTTTCTGGTATCCACTTGGAGATTAACCACATTAGAGCAGGCTGCCTACAAGATAAATTTCCTATTACAAATGTTGCGACATTCCCAACTTCCCTAGCCTTTTCCTGCAGCAGTAAGTAAACTCTTTAAAGAGCTGGTAGCAAGGGAAACAGTCTAAGTCTTCAGAAACCTCTTCCCACGTGTAACCTTAAAAGTTAAAACACTGCGATCCAGAGAAGCTGCAAACATAAAAGAGCTGCATAAAACCTCTTCCGATCTCTGGACATGGAAGTCCTTCAGGATACTCTTTTTTGACACATATTGCCATACATTGTGAAGGTAATGCTGTCACACCCCCCCCGGTGGTCCAGGGGAAAATTCACTGCACTGTCACTGCAGAGACCCGGGTTCGATTCCCGGTCGGGGCCCCTCCCCGGGCAGATGGAGCTCGTTAGCCCTGTAAGGCAATCCATCTACGTCCTGAGGACCTCGCTGCCACCGTCCAAGCGTGCTTGGCCCCGGCAGATGAACCTCAGGATTAAAGGGTGGGCTCAGTTCCGCGCACACTGTGTCTCACCTAAAAAATCCAATGCGCAGGCTGGAAGGTGGAAAGACCTTCCCCGGTTCT